GCGCCGCTCCCGCCGCCGCCGCCGCCGCCGACCCCGACGTCCTCGGTGGCCACGCTGGACCTGGGCGACCAGCGGGAGCGCTGGGAGACGTTCCAGAAGCGGCAGAGGCTCACCTTCGAGGGCGCCGCCAAGCTGCTGTTGGACACCTTGTGAGTGTGGCCGGGCCGGGCGCGCAGGAGCCCCGCGGACGCCCCTCGGCGCGGAGTCGGGCTTGCCACCGGCCGGCGCGCCCCCGTCTGCGTGCGGGTCGGGGCCGAGACCCGGTTCTGCGTCTCCCCCGTAGCGTAACTCGCGCGCCTTCCCTCGGTGGAGCGGGCTCGCGCCGAGTTCTAACGGCTGCCTGGCTTGGCTGCGTGCGGGTGTGCGGCCGTGTCGGGAGAGGGGGCCTCGCCCCGGGGAGGCTGGGGGCGCCGCCCGCGAGCGTGAGGGACGCGCCGCGTCCTGGCACACAAAGGGTCTCTCCGGGCACAGCCACACTGCACGGGCCATTGTCTTTTGTCTTGGCGCCCAAAGGGTGTGGGGGCCTTTCCAGTGAAAAAAGGATAAATCCCACGACTTTCCTCACATCTGAGTCGCGTTTTACATTTGCGCACATGGTTTTGGAGAGCGGGTAGGGGGTTGAGAAAAGCGTCAACATTTTGAACCAACTGGGAGGCGAAATCCCGTTATTCCGGGCGCTCCCGGTGAGGGAGCGGGTGGGGGCGGGGTTAGTGATCCCGCAGAGGAGCGCGCGCCGTGAGGCTTGGGATTCGGAGCGGCCGCGCGGCTCCCCGAGCGGGGAGAAGAACCTCCAGCTCCTTGGATGGCCCCGGAAGGAGTTCCGAGCGTCTGTGATATTAGAAATGAGCTCTTACCTCTGGCAAGGGCTGCCTTGTTTTCTCCAAATGTGGTAGCATCTAGATTCCTGCCCTCTAGAACAGTTGTGCTACAGAGAAATATTTTAACACTCTAGTAATATATCTCAGTGTCGATTATTTTATGAATTACAAAGAGCAATCAAAATCCTGGAAAAAACAAGAACAGCCTAACAATTGCGTAACAACGTGAGGATTACTTATTTGTTTGAACAAAAATATTTCTTTTGTCCTTATTCCAGAAGAAATTCTCTTAGGATGAGTTCTCAGAGGTGGAATATTTGGTTTTCTGTGCGCTTCACTTTTTGATTTATCATCTTGGACTATATAGGCTGAACATTTTTTTAATTCACCATCAAACATTTTTGAGCCCTATGATGTGCCAGCTACTGCTAAATGTAGGGGATATAAAAGTCCTCAGAAATATAAAACTCAAATTTAAAGTAAATCTTTACTTTAAAACAACTTAATGAGATATAATTGGCAAGACAAGAAATAACAAGTATTGGAGAGGATGTGGAGAAAAACCCTCATACACTGCTGGGTGGGAATGTAAACTGGTGCTGACACTATGGAAAATAGTATGGAGATTCTTCAAAAAATTAAGAATAGAACTACCATATGATCCAGCTATTCCACCGCTGGGTATTTATTCAAAGAACATGAAAACACTAATTCGAAAAGATATTTGCACCCTTATGTTCATTGCAACATTATTCACAAAAGCCAAGACTTGGAAACAACTTAAGTGCTCATCAGTGGATGGGTGGATAAAGATGTAGTATGTATACACAATGGAATACTAGTCAGCTGTAAAAAAGATGAAATCTTGCCATTTGTGACAACATGAATGGACCTTGAGGGTATTACACTAAGTGGTACAAGTCAGACAGAGAAAGTTTAATACTGTGTGATTTCACTTATAAGTGGAAGATAAAAACAACAACAAACACATAGATATAGAGATTAAATTGGTGGTGACCAGAGGAGAAGCGGGGAAGGAAGAGGATGAAAGGGGTAAAAGGGCACATGTGTATGGTGTTGGATGGTAATTAGTCTTTGGGTGATGAACATGATGTAGTCTACACAGAAATAGAAATATAATGATGGGCCGGCCCGGTGGCTTAGCGGTTAAGTGCGCGCGCTCTGCTACTGGCGGCCCGGGTTCGGATCCCGGGCGCACAGCGACGCACCGCTTCTCCGGCCGTGTATGTGGGACGCGGCCTCAGCATGGCCGGAGAAGCAGTGCGTCGGGGCGCGCACCCGGGCCACCAGTAGCAGAGCGCAGGCACTTAACCGGCTGGCCCTAAAGCATTCAATCTTAATGACTAAATAAATGCAAATTAAAACTGCAACAAGCTGTTTTTCCTGTAATTGTTGCTTGAGAAGGTGCAGTGAAATGTTTTGTCATTCATTACTGACAAGAGTGTTCAGCTCTTTTGGAAAGCAATTTGATGATATTTATCAAATCTTAATAATATTCAATTAAGGGCCTGGCTTATCTATAAGCTTTAAAAGGATTGAAGTTGTATGTAATGTGTATGTTTAGCTGTGTAAAAATTCATGTATGTGAAAAATACTGGAGAGGAATATAGCAAAATTATAAGACTCTTTGTTACTTTCCCAGAAGGCTTTTCTGAACCGCCAGACTCGGTCAGGTCCCCTTGTCTTATTTTTTCCCAGCAGCCTGTACTTCCTTTATCACAGTCATTTGAATATTATTTGGGTAATTTATTTGATGGCTGCTTAAGGTCTGTAAGGCCAGGAACCATGTCTGCTGTATCTTGTTTACTGCTTTCTCCCTGGTGCCTGTCTCATAAAAATTCCTAGTAAGTATTTGACATATAAATAATGTTTGAGTAGTGGGATTAGGACAGCACCCCTCACTTTCCAAAATTTGGAATGCTTTCTTTTGCAATTTAACAAAATGTAAGAAATGGAAAAAGAGCTCATAGATAAAGAAGGCATTGAATCCTGTCTTTTATAAAATTGACCTTACCTCCTCAAAAGCAGAAATGCACCTGGTTGTCATGTAGAGAAAACTTTTGTCCCTGTCTTGCTTCTTTCTTTCAGCAAGAGAGAGAAAGAGGGAGCTATGCAATAAGGTCCTGTCTGACTATTCAGAGATCCTTATCTTTCTGATTTTTTGTTTCATTTAGTGAATACCAGGGCCTGGTGAAACACACTGGAGGCTGCCACTGTGGAGCGGTCCGCTTTGAAGTTTGGGCCTCGGCAGACTTGCACATTTTTGACTGCAAGTGAGTGTTTTCTCTTCCCAAATTGGCTTTAAAGGACTTAAGAGTTAAAACACTATGCTTCAAAATCGTCTGGGGAGTTGGGGTATAGATGAAATAACATCAGCCATGAGCTGATAGTTATTGGAATCAGGTGATGGGTACATAAGGATTCATTGTTCTATTCTTGCTCCTTTTGTATGTGCTATAAGTTTTCAATACTAAAAATTTTTACAAAGAAGGGGGAGGCTAAAAATAACTAAGTCTGCCGTGTGTATGTGCGTGTGTGAGAGAGAGTGAGCTCACTCCTACCGCACAGCCCCAGGTGACACAGCAGGGTCCTCCAGCTTGTGCCTGGCAGAATCACCCCTCAGACTAATACTGCTGGTGGATGAAGGGAGTGGTTAGCTGGAGGTGGGTCAGGCTGGGCACTGAATGAAAGCCCTTGGGCAGAGCCTTCCTAGGAGTCCAGAATTGGGGGGAGATGGAGGGTAAATAAGAGGGATGTGCACTGCTGGAAGCTCACCATTCTCCAAGCCCTCTGGTTCTGTTCTAGATGAGACAGGTGGTTCTGCCAGCATCTGCGGAGGGCCTGCTTTTTTAGTACCTTCCCAGGCATTGTGATAGAACAGGGACTACAGGCTCTGACTTCTGGACCAATAGTTGACATATAACTCATTATTCAACAGTATCCAGTCCTTTTTGCCCCTAGGTGGTGTGATACCTGGATGATGTATAAATAATAAATAAATACCATGGAATTACTCAAATGGGGAACTGACCAGGCTACTAACAGTGGAGCCCAGATTGGAGAAGCAGCGCCATGGAATAATTTGTTAGAGGATTCTATACTAAATTAGAATTTTTTAAAAGGTGGACTAAAAGGGGGTACTTAGATTGAATTCCAAAGATGGTAATTCTGAGGACCTGTTTTACATGGAGCTAGGCTTTTTGTGATGTACAGATGAGGAAAGAGGGGAACCTAAGCTTCTTTGTCCATTTTTGGTGTGGATATCCCAGAGGCATAAGATTGTAGCTATGCTTGATATTTGTTTTCTAAGTGTCTCTAGAATCCAACAGTTCCCTTCACTGTAATAAACTGGGGCGTGGGCAGCAGAAACATGGTTCTGATGGCCCTGGTTTTCTGAGGAGTGGATGGCCATGACTGCTGGCTGTGGGACCTGCAGGCGCTTCTGCACACGCAGAGCAGAGGCCCCAGGTGACCAGTCCATCTGCCGAGCTTCTTCCCTGGATGTGGTGAAAGAGGCTTCACTTTTGGGGTCAGCTGGCTCTCAGCACATGTCAGGTTGGGCCCCTTGGGCACTCAGAGGGTGCAGACGGTTGTTCACAATTTGGGAATTGCTCTGTCTCTCTGTAGCTGCAGCATTTGCAAGAAGAAGCAGAATAGACACTTCATTGTTCCGGCTTCTCGCTTCAAGCTCTTGAAGGTTAGTGCTAAGAGCAGGGTTGGGGAGCCCCGTATGGATGCTCCCTGTAGAGTTCCAGGGGGCAAGGAGCACAGTAGAGCCTCTCACGGGACTTCAATTTCCGTTTTCACTCAGGTTTCATGCTTATTTTTAAAAGGTTATATTTCCTCTCTATATTTTGGATGCATATCTGATATTACTGTGGAAATATTTTCAAATATAGAGAATCAAGAAATAAGTAAGATCATCCAAATCCTATCAACCAAAGGTAACCACTGTTATATTTTGGTGTACTATCTCCTTGTGCATTATTTTATACATAGATAAATACATCTATTTATATTGCAAATGTTTTTATCAAAGTAGGATTTTGCCTTTTTTTTCTGTTTTATAACCAACTTTTATCATTTCCCAATGAAAAAGTACATGATTTGAAAATTTTAACTTTATTATTTCGGGAAATTTTTGTGCTTGGCACAAAATTTGAAAGGTATAAAATGTGTGTGTGTGTATATATATAAAGTCTTCCCTCCACTGTCTCTCAGCCACCTAGTCTCTTCCTCCCCTACAACCATTTCCTAGTTTAGTATTATTAGTAATAATACTATTGCTTTATACTGTTACTCCTGTATTTGCAGCATATTTTCTTATATGAATATCCTAAGCAGTTTTCTATATTTGAACTTGTAGGTTGAGTGCAATTTTTTTCCGATTACAAACAACACTGTGATGAACCTCCCTGTGTATACATCTTTGAATATTTAGAAATTATTTCTTTAGGATTAATTCTCTTAGAAATAAAGTCTCTGGGCAAAGAATACGAACTTTTAAGAAAAGGCTTTTAACACACTATTGCTAATGTGAGGTGGGATGGGGCTTTAATTCCATCCTTGGTTCCTGTTGCCCCCATTGTGGTCTGACAGACCTCTCTGTGCTTTGGTGTAATGATCTGTTTCCATGTCTGTCTCCTTTACTAGATCGTGAGGGTCTCCAAGTTCCACCTTTTGTCACGTCTGACCAGCTCCTGGCCTCGTAGGCTTGGCATTGAGTAGGCACTCAGTGAGTGTCTGGGAGGAAAGACTAATGGAGTGAATGAGTGCATGAGTCCTGGTCTTTCCTAGTTAGTGAGATTTAATCTCAGGTGCTTTGGGCCAGTTTGTCTTCTTTTCTTTGTCTGCCCCTTGGTCCTTCATGTGGGTGTCTGGTGGGGGAGGTGGGACAGGTGGGCAGCATACCTGTCCCTTGTCTTTCCTGTAAGCCCAGAAGAGTGCCAGTGTGCTCTCCTCGGATGCCTGCTGGAGTCTGTGGCCCCAGTTCGTCTTTGCCCCTGAGTACCCATGACAGATGGTTCCTGAAGACACCACCAGGTGCAGCCATGGGCTCTTGGGTCTCGGAATTGATACTTTTTCCCTTTTTTTCCTCCTTGGGCCTGTTTATCAATGCATTTTCCTGGTGCTCTAGAGCACCATTCTCTTCTTTACACTAGCCTGTTGAAGGAGCAATTTTCTGTTTGTTCTTTTAAATTATGTACAAAACTTATTCGTTCAGCAAATATTTATGGGGCACCTACTGTGTACTAGGCACTGTTCCACTGAAACCCAGCAGTTAACGTGACAGACAAGGCCCTCAGAGCTTACAATATGCAGAGGGGGAGACAAATAAATAAGAAAAAATCTGATAGTGCTGTTTAGAGAGTTAAAGCAGAGCAATATGATAGAATATAGCTGAGTGGCTAGTTTAGGTTGGAAAGGGAAGGTCCCTCTGGTGTTTAGATGAGGAAGATGTGGGGCTGGGGGGTGTGGGCAGTAAGAGTGTCCCTGGCAAAGGGAACGCATCATGCAAAGGGGCGCACGTTTGGTGTGTCTGAGGAGCTGCATAGTGGCTGTGCTGGCTGGAGGGTGGTCTGTGGGTGGAGGTGAGAGAGTGGACCAAGATGGGGTTAGAGGGATGGCAGGACCAGACAAGGAGATGGATTTTACTCTTTGTGGAGTGTGAAGCCCGTGGAGGGTTTTAAGCAGGGTAGTGACAAGACCCGCTTCAGTGTTTTAAAAGCTCCCTTTGGCTGCTGTGTGGAGAATGGATTATAAGGAGGTAAGTGTGGAGACAGGTTGTTTGGTGGGCCAGGTGTGATGATGGGAGCTTGCATTAGGATGATAGTCATGGAGATGGAAAGAAAATAGATAATGGGAGATAGATTTTGAATAGATAATTGGACATATGTTTTATTTATTTAATTTTTTGTGAGGAAGATCAGCCCTGAGCTAACATCCATGCTAATCCTCCTCTTTTTGCTGAGGAAGACCGGCTCTGAGCTAACATCTATTGCCAATCCTCCTCCTTTTTTTTTTTTCCCCAAAGTCCCAGTAGATAGTCGTATGTCATAGTTGCACATCCTTCTAGTTGCTGTATGTGGGACGCGGCCTCAGCATGGCTGGACAAGCGGTGCGTCGGTGCGCGCCTGGGATCCGAACCCAGGCCGCCAGTAGCAGAGCATGCGCACTTAACTGCTAACCCAAGGGGCCGGCCCAGGACATATGTTTTAGAGAAGTGGTTTTCAAACTGTAGTGTGTGCACAGTCACGTAGAGGGCATGTTAAAACAGAATGCTGGGCCCCACTCCTGATTCTCTAGGTCTGGGGTGAGGGCCTGAGAATTTATATTTCTTACACGTTCTCAGGTGATGCTGATGCTGCTGGTCTGGGGACCACACTTTGGGAGCCACTATTTTAGAGGAAGGGTGAACAGAACTCTATAAAGGATTGGGTGTGGAGAAGGGAAATGAGAGAGGAGTTACATCCACAGTGTTGGGCCTGAGCAGCTAGTGGAATGGAGATGCCAGATCCTGGGGGAGAAGCAGTTGTGGAGGGGTACTGGAATCAAGAATTCTTTTTGGAAAAAGTTCAATGAAGGATGTGTTTTGAATATTCATGTAGAGATGGGAAGTGGGCAGCTGGATATGCAAGTTTGGAGTTGTGGAGAGAAATCAGCTGGAACTATCAGTTTGGGAGTTCTTGGCATCCTGATGCTGTTTAGAGCCATGAGACTGAGTGAGTCAACTGGGTAGATGGTGTAGCCAAAAAATGGAGAGGGACGAGGACAGCCCTGGGGCTTGCCAGCATTTATAGAGAGTTGAACAGAGGGAAGAGAAGCAAGCAGAGGGATGGCCAGTGGCGAAGGAGGAAAAAACAGCAGGAGAGTGTGGTATCCTCAGAGACAAATGTTTCAAAATGGGAGGACTGGTCCTGAGAGGTCAAGTTGAGAAGAACAAGTTAAGAATCCAGTGATCAAGAGAAATGACCATTAGATTTGTGAATATGGTGATCATTGGTGATTTCTGATTAGGCAGGAAGACAGAAGAAATGACCAGAGAGGTCAGATGATAGGCCCCAGGAAGCAGGCATTTTCACTCCCTGACATCCACGGGACATGCCATCTTGCCGTGGATCAGGGAAGGCTCAAGGCTGAGTTGTTCTCTGTGCAGTTGACCTAAGAGAAGCTATGAGCTGTTGTGCTCCATACTGACTGTCTCCTGGCAGTTTAGATGGGTCCCTGCCATTGAGAAACCTCTAGTCTCTTGTGGGAAATTAGATTGTCCTCATAATCCTGAGAGCCCTACAAGAGGGCTTCCCCCCATTGAACCTTTTAAAAGATTTATTTTTTAAATGAAAAAAATCCCTGTAGAAAGAGAATACCTATTTGTCTATTTTCCCTCAGGGAGCTGAGAGCATAACCACATACACCTTCAACACGCACAAAGCGCAGCATACCTTCTGTAAGAGATGTGGCGTTCAGAGCTTTTACACTCCCCGCTCAAACCCCGGAGGCTTCGGTAAGTGAAGGGAATGGGCCACAAGCTCAGGAGGGACGCGGAGAGGCCCTGTGGCTGCTCTGGGTTAAAATGCTGGTTGGAAAGATGGGCACTGGCATATTTGGCTTGCCTACTGCTTGGCTTGGCCTTTTCACGTGCATGTTTTAGAAGAACGGGCTCTTCAGCAGAGCTCTTTTCAAATGATGGAATATAAGATTGGCTATGGTCATTCGGAGACCGGCTAGATCCTGGTTCTCATTTGCTGGTGCTGCCTGAGCTGTATGTTGCTGGGACTGACACTGATGATAGAGAGAGGAGTTGGGGGGAGGTGGGCCTGTGGGGGAGGAGGGAATTTGAACAACGATGGTGGTTAAGGGGGTGAAGAAGGCAAGAGTGAGGAGTGTTTATAATGCCATTTAAGAAAAATTTGGTTTGTTCAAAACACAAACAACACCCAAGCCCTTCTTCAGATTCTACTTGGGTCTAGGGGGAAAAAACAACCCTTAGACAGTTGCTCACAATGACACCAGTTGCAGTGTGAACTGAGTGGAAAGTAGTGGTTGAGGATGTTCCTGAGGAATCTTGTCCCTGTATAAATGCAGCCTCCAGAGCTGCGTTGGGGCAGCTGTGACTGACTGTCTTGTGCTTTATGGTGGGGGGAGGGCAGGACATGACCCTTGCCCTCCACATCCCATTTCTTTAGCAGCTCCTGTTTGTTCCTCATCTGTCATGTGGAGAGTCCTTCCTCCCCTCCTCGAGGATCAGGAAGTTTTTGGAAAGAATAAAATCTTGTACAGATGGGGAAGTATTTAATTCTTAGAAAATTATCTATCTAAACCCTGGAAAAGGCCTGTGAATTCTTCAGGCTCCCAAATGGAGATTGCTCTAGGCTTGAGTCTTGCTACTCTTTGTGCTCTCAGCTTAGTTTTGAATCATGTCCAGCCTTGGCCATCCCTGGTTCGAGACGTCTGATCCCCCTGTGAGGTGAGGACAGTACGCCAGGAGGCTGACGATGTACCACTCAGAGAGCCTAGGACGTGGTGCTTACAGGTGTAGGTTTGTCCAGTAGCCAGTGCAGTATCTGGTCTCACTCTTACTTGGGACCCCCCTTTCTCTGTGCCACTTCCCTCTAGGAATCGCCCCACACTGCCTGGATGAGGGCACTGTGCGGAGTGTGGTCATTGAGGAATTCAATGGCAGCGACTGGGAGAAGGCCATGAAGGAGCACAAGACCATCAAGAACATGTCTAAGGAGTGAGCTCCTGCTTCTCTCTGAAAAGAAGGGATGATTCGGGCAGGCAACTTTGCTGTCAACACTGCACCTCGGTGGTGCTCAGGAATGTGGCTGACCCAGGCTGCTGGTTCCGTTGACCAGTGGCCATCTCGATCTCTGCAGTTTGCTCCGGCTACCAGTTTTTTAGGCAGCTCTTTGTCCTTCCTCAGTGCAGATTTTGATGTAGGCTAGTTGACATCCTCCTTTCTCTTCCCAACTTTTGTGTGATCTTTTAGAAAGATAAATATTTTTAACATTAAAGCAGTTACTATGGTTTTAACATTTTCTTTGCACTTTGATTTTGCTTCTGAGGCCCATTTAATAGCAGATGTTTACTGAGCACTGTTAAGATGCTTGTAACCAAATTGGGAGGGAGAGATAAGACAAATGAATAGTTATTAAAAATGTAAGATTATGAATGATCACAAGCCACGTGAGTTGTAAAGATACTATGAGCTTTAGGAGTTCAGAGGGGAGAGAGGGGGCTGGTCATGGAAGACTTGGGGAGGGTATGATTGGAGTCTTTTTTTTCCTAAGGTAAATCAGCTTCTAATTACTTTTTTTTTTCAAATTGCGGTAAAATACACATAACAAAATTAACCATCTTAACCAACTTTAAGTGTACAGTTCAGCAGTGTTAAGTACATTCACATGTTGTGCAGCCAATTTCCAGAACTCTTAATCTTGCAAAACTGAATCTCTATACCCGTTAAACAACAACTTTGAGTCTATATTTTTAAAGGAAGTAAGATTTAGGAAGGTGGAAGAAGTAACTGTGAACAGAGGTGTGGACACATAGTAAAGACAGACTGAGTTGGAGGCTTGTGATGGGAAGAAGTAATAGAAGAGATCAGAAAAACATGTTGAAGCTAGACTCTGGACGGTCTTGGATATTAGGCTCAGGACTTTGCCCTTTATTTTACAGGCATTGGGAAGCCCTGCACAGCTTCGAACAGGATGAATAATGCCTGGCCTGTTATGCAGTCTTTTGACTGGTTCACCTTCACCCCTGCCACTGCCACCCCCCGCCCCCCCACCCCGCCTCCTTGTTTCGCGTTGCTGCCTATTACAATCAGATTAACTGTCGTAAAACATTCCGTTCATTACCAAATACTGAGTGTGTACCTGATGGCAAATGCTTAATAAATATTTGCTTTTTGCTTTAGGAAAATTAATCATGAAATGATTTGTAAGGTAGACTAGTCAAGGGAAAAGAACAGGGAGGGGAAACACAGATGGACTGGTGTTCTTTGTGGTCACCACCTCTTCTGAGTTGTCTGTCCGTCAGCTGACAGCCGTGTTCAGACTTTAAGGTTGGAAGGAGCTGGTGAAAAATTATACAGGTAAAACATGCATATATTCTGATACAGGGAATGTCCCCTCTGATCTGCCCTTCCTATTGCAATATTATATTTTTAAAAAACGCATAGTTTAGGGGCTGGCCCGGTGGCGTAGTGGTTAAGTTTGTGTGCTCTGCCTTGGTGGCCAGGGGTTCACAGGTTCAGATCCTGGGTGCGGACCTATGCACCGCTTGTCAAGCCATGCTGTGGCAGGCGTCCCACATATAAAGTAGAGGAAGATGGGCGTGGATGTTAGCCCAGGGCCACTCTTCCTCAGCAAAAAGAGGAGGATTGGCGGATGTTAGCTCAGGGCTAATCTTCCTCACCAAAACAAACAAACAAAGGAAAAAACCTCATAGTTTTGTGTATCTTTTAAAAACATAAATGGCATACTGTACCTTTTGTTCTACAACTTGCATTTTTGTTTAATAACATCTTGATCTTTTCATATCAATATACATATCTTCATTATTAACAGTTACATAGAATTGCGTAGTATGGGTATAGTTTATTCATTCTTTTTTTCATAGAAATTAAGATTTCCAGTTTTTGCTTAACAATGAGTATTGACAGTGAACATCCTTTTACACGCTTCTTTATACACGTGTATTATTTGAGGATATAGAAGTGGAATTGCTGGGTTAAAGATATGTGTATTTTAAATATTAGAAATGCTAAGCTGCAGAGCTGGCCCCATGGCATAGCGATTAAGTGCACGTGCTCTGCTGCTGGTGGCCCATAGTTTGCAGGTTCTGATCCCGGGCGCACACCGATGCACTGCTTGTCAGGCCATGCTGTGGCAGCGTCCCATATAAAGTGCAGAAAAATGGGCATGGATGTTAGCCCAGGGCCAGTCTTCCTCAGCAAAAAAAAAGGGGAGGATTGGCATGGATGTTAGCTCAGGGGTGATCTTCCTCACCAAAAAAAAAAAAAAAAAGGCTAAGTTGCCCTTACAGAGTGTATATACTTTGTGTAAAATGTCCGTCTGCCCCATATATAGCAGAGTGCCCTCACCAACCCTTGATGTTATCAATATTTTTAATTGTGACCAATCTCTTGGGCAAAATTTTTCATTTTTTTAGTTTCTATTTTCCTAATTACCTGAGATTAAGCATCTTTTTATGTTTTTTTTTTTGTGTGTGAGGAAGATCAGCCCTGCGCTAACATCTGCCAATCCTCCTCTTTTTTGCTGAGGAAGACTGGCCCTGGGCTAACACCCATGCGCATCTTCCTCCACTTTATATGGGACGCCGCCACAGCATGGCTTGACAAGTGGTGCTTCGGTGCATACCCGGGATCCAAACCGGCGAACCCCGGGCCGCGGGAGCGGAGCGCACACTTAACCACTTGCACCACCGGGCCAGCCTCTATCTTTTTATGTTTTTTGACCATTTTTATTTCCTGTCCTGTCAGTTGCTTGATCATTTCCTTTGCCCATTTTTCTTTGGAGCTATTTTTTCATCTACCTATTAAAAAGTATTAGTAAATAAGTGTTCCAGATACTATTATTAAAAACAAATTTTTGGAGCTCTTTATATTCAGGATATAAATCCTGTTATAAATTTTGCCAATGTTCTTTTTTAATCTGTCGCTTGCTCTAACTTGGTTTATTAGGGTTTTAGATTTTGATGGGTTCAAATTTATCAGTCTTTTTTTTTTTCTTTTCTTCATGGCATTCTGACTTTTGTGTTTTCTGACTTTGTGATTTATGTCTTATTTGAGAATACCTTCCTTATCAAGCTTATAAACATATTTACCTGTATTTTCTTCTACTTTCATGGTTTTTTCCTTTTTACATATAGCTCTTTAATCTATCTGGATTTTTTTTTCTAAGTGGTTTTTATTTTTTATTTTTGTCAGTGGTAGGAGGTAGGGGTTAGCTCCCCACCCTCACAATGGATAATCATTGCATCAACACTTCTATTGACCAATCCATCCATTCCTTAATGATTTAAAATGCTGAGTTGACTAAATGAGATAGTTTCTGGACACTTCATTTTGTTCTTTTAATCTATTTTCCTGTAGTTCTACAAATATCAACTGTTTTAAATCCCTAAAGCTTTATGATGTGCTTAAAAAATCTGATAGGGTAAATCCCCCTCATTATTCTTTTTTGTTCATTTGGATATTGATTGAGAGCGTATTGAATTTATAAATTCATTTGGGAAGAATAGGCTCCTTCACAATATTCAGTTTTATCATCTAGGAAAGTGGCACGTCTCCCCAGTTGGTTTGTTCTTTTATGCTCGTCAGTCAACTGTCACGCTGTTCTCCATATAGAAGCAGTATAAACGGCACATTTTGTGTTAGGTTTATTCCTGGCTGTCTTATTTTTTTTGTTATTCCTGTGAATGGGCTCTCTTTTTACACTTTGCAATTGGTTACTGCTGGAGGAGGGAAATGCTATTGTGCTTGGTATGTTAAACTTTTATCTGGCCACTTGTTGAATTTCCAGTGACTTTCTAAGCTAGCCCATTGAAAGTATCCCTCAGCAATGAGGTCACTAGCAGAAATTGGAACAGTTAATGGGCCCCTGTGTGGGAAATGTCCTAGCTTGAGTCTCTTTAGTCATCATCTTAGAAATTGCTGTTTTCCCTCATGCTTGGGGCTCAGAGATAGCAAGGGTGTGATACTGGCCAGGAGGAGCTCTGGCAAAGTGACTTGGAATGGCAGATGCCATCAGGAACAGCCTAGCACCTATGGAGGGAGCCCTCCACTGGGGAGCAAACCAGCTGGAGTCCATCTGCGCGGTGCCACTGCCACCTCTGGTCTCAGCCAGGAAGCTGCCTCGCACACAATATTCCCATACACACCCTGCTGGGGAATGTTAGGGGGTATTTGGCACAACTTTTATATCTTCTGAATTCATAAAGGGAGGAAACAGTTCTAAAGACTGCAAGAACTTCCTAAAGCCAGATTCAACTAGCCATAGTTAGTGGAAATCCAAGCGCTGGGACTCTTTGAGGACTCTTTCTTTCCTGAGATTAGCCTTCACTTCTTTAAAGCTCGAGGTACAAGCACCAGTGCTTGCTTTTGTGACTAATGAAAAGTTCAAGGATGATCTGTCAACCCCCTGTTCTTCCTCCATCGCCCTTCTCAGGCAGGAAGAGAAGAGCAGCCTTGTTGATAGAACACTGCAATTGCTCAGTTCCAGGCTAACATACGGATCTGAGAGAGCACTCTTTTGCTGTTTCCTGGGGTTTCCTTCCAGAAAACAATGCTGCCACCATGTGATTACCCACATGGACTTGACCCAAATCAGTAGGAGAAATAACACTGACAGTTCTGAGCTCATGGGCTCTGATTAACTCTTTATAGATAACTAGAATTTTTTCCCTTATGACCTCACTTATCTCAAACTCCTCCCTTGTCCATTCCCTGAGGTGCACTTAATTAGACCACATGTCGTTCAGCTTTTAATTACTGTTGACTTCACTTCCCTATGGATTTTCCTTATAATATCATCATGGGACAGGAGCCCCCCTGGCAGAGGAAGAGTGAAGGTGGTACATGCAGGATTCAGCCTTGACCAAGACTTTAACACTCTGATCAAACTAGAACTATGTCTTTGTTCCCCAACCTCTTGTGTCCCAAGAACATAAACATTCTATAGTTCTAGTAGTTTGTCTGTCTCTCCGTAGGGTTTAACTGCTTTACTTCTCATAGAATTCACTGATTCCACATGTTATCTTGCAACAACTAACCTCGATGCTTTTGTTAACCGAAATGAGCAGCTTTATGAGGCAAAGATAAGTTTTAAAGAAAAATGAGGCTTTATTAAAAGGTTTGCAAACTGGGGAAGTACACCTCAACCCGCAAGTTGATAGGTGAGCCCCCGCCTTGGTCTTTGTGTGGCTGGTTTTTAAAGGCAAAAAGTGCAGAGTGTGAAAGGCTAAAGCTGAGTCCAGTTCTGATTGGTCGCCCTTTCCAGTTACAGTGT